GGGGGAGGGAGGGGGGAGGGCAGGCGGAGAAAAGAAAGGAAGGACCCTCGGAAAATTTAGGAAATTCCCCCCGCCCACGCTCGCGGCGCGCCGGTGACAGCAGCGGCAGCCTTTTTAGCGACCGACCGCGAGAGACTGATCGCTTGGCGCGGTGTCGCCGCGCGGGCGGGGAGGGGGTGGTGGCGGGGGCGTAAGTGCAAGCAGTCAGCAACGCACCGCGGCGCGAGCGGGACCGACAGCCGAGCGGGGGTCGAGCCGTGTGTGGACACGAGTGACCGATCGATTGGGACCGGACAGGAAGGAGTTTGGTCGAGTGCATCGGAAGTCACGGGCAACCGGCGAGGGTAGTAGCACCGACCCGACCGGAGGCGAGCTGCATCGGGGGTTGGGGTGTCGCTAGTGAGACCCTAGAGGTGGTCGCCAACAGGCTGGACCCGAAACAGGTGAGCCTCAGAAAGTGTTCCCGACGTCTGCGCCAAAATCTCGCAAGAGGCCGAGCCTATGGCCGGTCCTGCCGGGTCAGAGGGAGGGGGGTCGGCTGGCCGCAGGGCGAAAATCCTTGCCGCTGAGTGGGCGTGCTGGCGGGTCTTAAATGGGAGGGAAACTGGTTTTCAGTCAAGTCATGGGCGAGGCCAAACCAACCGTTGTTGGGGCTGACGCAATGAAGGTGGAGGCGGGTTTATTCATTTCAGTAGTGACTCCTTCCCTTCACCCCTCCAATACCTCACGCCACGTGCTGTTCTCGAGCATGGATGTCATCGAGTATATCAAGTAGTGAGTGTAGCCACCACGGCTGATAGACGGGTTCCTCGACGTTTGGCTTATGTAAACCGATGATATTAGTTGGAGTGCACCCTCCACGGATCCGAGATAAACCGGGTAAATCTATCCGATTCGGTAAGCGGCTTTATGGCCAACCGCGGACCAAGGCGAATCGGCAGCAGGGGCTCTGCTGCTTCGGTCCGGTCTGCAACATGGACGGAGCGTAAGCAAAACGCAAAACGCCCGCCACGGCAACTCCCCCTTGATAACTGTTTATAACCGGCTGGCTGGGACGGGCCCGGGCGGGACGGGAGAGGACGGGACGGACAAGAGGGCGGCTCCAAACTTTCTTTTGAATCAACAAGTGATCTCGTTTTCCTTCTCCCCAAGTCGATCCATTTTCTCCTTTCTCTCCGCGACGGTGTTGTTGCGGGCCGCGCGGAGCCGGGCAGAACGCACACGATCTGCCAGGGGCTTTTGAACCCCGCCGCCGCGCCGCGCCGCCCCGAGGGAAGTCCCGCACGGAGGAGAGGCACGGGGGGAGGAGGGGGTGGCAACCGGAGTCGAGAAACCGGTTGGAACCGGTCGCCCGGAGCCCGGAGCCAACCGGTTAGATGTGACCGCGACCTACCTCCATTTGGATGCGGCTTATTCGCTCGTGACATG